TTATTAGAAACAAATTTAGAATTTGAAGAATTTACTCGAGGGTCTATCAAAATAATTTTTTACCTTTTTAAGATAGTGATAAGATTTTCGTATATTTTATCTTTTTCAAACTCCGCTTTTGAGACTATATTGAATTTATTGTTGTTAGTAAAATTTAACTTGGCTTTTGAGATTTACTGAAATTTTTTGTTATTACCTTGTAATTGTTAGTGATGTTAGATTGTATTCAATAGACTCTCGATTCACTCTAACTTGTTACATTAAAAGAAGGGAGTATTAAATACCATTACGTAAACATCCAAAATCTAACTAGTAATGTGTGTCAAAACCCTACGACCACCATATTAAAATCTCAAGAGATATTTCCACTTCATTTGACACTTCTAAGGTGACGGGAGGTGAGATGGTCAAGTAATGAGAATTTGAAATACTGAGTGATAGGTAAAGTGATAACAATTTCGAAATAACATATATGAAAAAAATAATTATTAAAAAAAATCTTACGTTAGAAACTAACACACTAAATTACCTCCAACAAAGGATCGTTTAATTAGAAGTATACAATTTTTTTAATAGCTAAGTGACATATCACATATATATAATAAAATTAGTCGATATCACAATAATAAGATACACATACCAAATGAAGCAACAATAACACTTTTTAAACCAACCTACCCTGGCCCCTACAATAACATTAATTGTAATTATCAACTTAGTTTTCTGTTCCAACTCATTTTCCCCCCTTATATAAGAACTATTATTATTTATGTATTAAAGCACACCTTAAATTGTGTTTTAATATAATGATAGTGATAATTTAAATAGAAAAATAGATTAATTGTTAGTGGATGTGAAACTCAGGGAAAAAAAGAAGTGACTTTCAAGTATGTTGTTGATAATTAACTCAATTAATAAACTCACATTTTGATACGAGAGTTAAATTTACATATATTTTTCATACTCGAAAAGCAAGTTGTAGAGGACTAGGCGAGACATTGGAGGCAATTGATCTTCTCTCTTTGTTTCATTTTAATTATTGTTTTATTCCAAAAATAAAATAAAATTATATGTTGCTTTAAAAAATCAAGACAAATTATTTATCCCAATTTTACACTTGCTATTGGGGATGTTGGAAGTAATTGATTATTAATACTTATTTTCCAATAATAACATTTGATCATTAAAATAATTAAATAAATTATAGGTTAGCACATACTATTTTCTTGAGTTAATGGTCAAATATATACTTAAACTCTCATTTTTCGTGAAATCATATCTCAACTATTTATTATTCAATTTATCTACATAAACTATTATTTCCTTTGTACTAAAATAAACTACGATAATTACCTACTTGTGCTAGTACATGTTCTATTTTAGTTTTTTAAAAAGAGTGTCAAGTGATACTCCACATGACTAATACATTATTTCAAAACGTGATTTTATGCATTCAAGTAAATAGTTGTTTCTCATTTACAGATGTGTGTGTATATATATATATATATATATATATATGTGTTATTGTATGCGGTTACTTCTGATTTGAATTGGATAAAATGGTACTCCTTTTTCAGGGCCAATTGAGTTTTGAAGTGCCTCTTGATTGAAAGTGATACCTTCAATGACTTTACTTGACGACTGAAAGGTGTAATGGTGATTATCTTGTAATCCAAGAACGAAGGGAATGCTCTGTTACTCAATGAAAATGAACTCTAAAATTACCTCTACTTAAACTTTTAAGTGTTGATTCATAGTTCAACAAATTCATCTTCATTTCTATAGTTCACTTGGATGTCTTTGTTTGCAAATGATGACATTACACACTCGTGCGGAGTATGGACACAATGAGTTACATCCATTGTTCTCTTGAATAATTATAACGAAAATAATGGATATTTCAAAATACATTTCAATGAGTATTAGAAATATTAAATACTCCTATTAATAATGAGAACATAACAAAGTTTACTCCTAGCAACATTATATAAATTTCACCCATTTTGTTTGGTAAATTGCAAGTACTGATATATTTACCTTTCTAATTAATAAATGTAAAATAACTCACATTTTAAATATTGTATTGATTTGTATTGGATTTATTTAGCAATAAATAACTTTTTCTCTAAATAATTTGTAAGTTAATTTATTTAAATAATTTTATTAGCACAAATATAACACAAAATTAAGAAAATAAACAAATCATTAAAATGATTTGATGGATATTTTTGTCTTTTCATAAATTATCTAATGATATTAAATCCTATGTATTACTAATGGTCTAATACCACTAAATGGAAGGTATTAGTAATATATTCATAATATCAAGTAGGGTGTATAGCTAATCCATGGATTAGTTATACATAGATCCAAAATTCCTACCAAGCATAGTATTAAATAATATATTATACATGGACTATTTATGTTAATACTCCCTACCAAAGGACGCCTAATAGTCCATCATGGTTTGCAATATTAGTGCACTTTTGGTCCTTTCCCAATTTTTTGCCTATTTTTTAATATTGATTTTGTCCACAATTTTATATATGTAATATTCAATAGTCTTTTTATATACTTAGTAGAAATAATAACTCCATGTGAGAGAAGGTGAGAAGAAGAACACCTCGCTCTGTTCAGTAGAGATATTATTGCAACTAAAATCGAGAGATTCACCACGTCGATTTCATGTGCAGTAACACAAAATTTCCTTTTCTTACAACGTTATATGTCAAGGTATTTTTCTTCTCATCTTCTCTCACATGAAATTATTATGTCTATTAAATATATTAAAAGACGATTGGACAATCAATGTTAAAAATAGACAAAAAAATTCAGGGAGGATTAAAAGTTTACGAATATGAGAGATTATTAGGAAATATAATGCATGCATTAGGTGTGTGTATTAGTAGTAACTTGTTTGATACACTTCTTCTTGCCATGTATAACTAATGTTGCACTAGTTATACACTCTATTGTGTATTAAGTTGTATATTACTAATGCCAAGTAATTCTAGGTATTAGTAATACATAGCATTTTAACACCCGTATTAGATTAAATAATTACAAAACTAACCTCAAAGCCTTTTAAAAACATTTCCTAATATTTTCTCCTCTTTTCATTTTCTTTCTTGTCATATGTTTTTATTTTTATTTGTTTTTCAATGTCTTTTAATTTGTTGGCCTCTTATAGTATCCTTTTTTTACCAACATAAGTTATGGTGCATTGGTGGGAGTGCTTCACCCTTAACTAGAGGTTTCGGGTTCGAGCCCTGGGTATGGAGAAAATCCTGTTGGGAGCGCCACCCCCAAATGGGCCTTGCAGACCGCGATCCGGATTTAGTCGGAGCTCCAATGTGGGCTCATTGGGGCTCCGGACATCGAATGGGAAACAAAAAAAAAGGTATCTTTTTTAAAAAAAAAATCTAATTTCAACATAGTTTAATAATTTTGTTTTTACTATTATGGCGATAAATTTGATTAAAAAAATTCTTTGCCAACTTTTCAAAAAAATATTTTGACTTAAATAGTACAACTATTTAATATTACTTTTGAAAAAAAAAAAAAAAGAAGAAGAAGAAGAAGAAGAAGAGGAGGAGCAGAAGGAGTTAAAGATGTTTTAGCAAAAAACTTTGTTGCAAAGGAAATGTAAAAATAAATAAAATGTGAAGGATATTTTTGTAAACATATATTTTAAAATAATTATACAAAATTTATTATTTCTAGTATATCGGGACAATGAATTAAGGGTTATAGAAAAGTTTCAAAATTAGGGATTGGTGACTCAAGTTTTAATTATTGAGTAGGGGTGACAGTTTTTAAATTAAGAATTAAGGGGTTGCATTTTTTATCCCTAAGTTTTTTTATTTAAACTTTAGTCCATCTTATATAAAATACTAAATAATAAGAAATGGAGGGAAAAAAAGTGTACCAACGGTTCAGTTTTTCCTTTTTTCTCTCTTGCTTATTCTTCCATTGTTGGGGACCATTGTTGCTGCTCTTCTTCTTCATTCTTCTTCTCCATCATCATTCTTCTTCTTCTTCTTGTTCATCACCATCTTCTTCTGGTTGTTCATCACTTTTTTCTTCTTCAGTTGATAATCACATTGTACTGCTACTTTCAGACGAATTTTCATTCATATATCATTGGACATTACATCATAGGTGATTTTGGTAAGTAAACTAATGATTTTTTACTCTAATTTTTCATTTTGATAGTTTGAGTGTTTCTTCAAAATTTTACAGTCGCGTACCCAACAGGTAAGTCATCTATTGCAACAGATAGATTATCTGTTGGATACATATTACAGTATCATGTCAAGCTGGGACTGAACCAGAAGCTTCTCCCAACAAATAAGTCATTTATTGCAACTGATGCGTCATCTGCTGCAACAGAGGGCTTACTTGTTGGATACATATTATAATATCAGACTAAGCTCGGAAAGAACTAGAAGCTTGTCACAATAGATGAGCCATTTATTGTAACATATGAGTCATTTGCTGCACCAGACGACTCATCTGTTGCAACAAATAGCTTACCCGTTGAATACATGTTACAGTACTAGGCCAAACTAGGACAAAATCAGAAATTTATCCAAACAGGTAAGTCATATATTGCAACATATCAATTATATGTTCCAACAAATCAATTACTTGTTGCAACAAATGACTCATCTGTTACAACAATTGACTTACATGTTGAATAAAGTTCTGGTTCTGGACATATATCCAACAAGTGAATTATCAGTTGTAACAAGTGAATCATCTGCTGCAACGGATGACCTACTTGTTGCAATAGATGATTGATTTGTTGGGACAATAATTGTGCATATGATTTTTAACTGTATATAGCCACTCAACTTTACTATACAATCATTATTAAATATTTTTAATAAATTCCTTTAGGTACCATTAATGGAAGAATCAATAACAATAGCTGTTGATTGTTATGGTGAATGGATTGAGAAAAACAATCGATTTATTTGGCGTTGGAAGTTGGTGACATGTCAGAGTCAGTATTGATGACCGTCCAAAGGGATATTTTGTATAATGATTTTGTGAACTCAATCATTAGCTATTGTGGACTAAATTGTCAACCAAATGATCTTGTCATCAGTTACATGCACAAGTCTTTTGAAAATCAGAGGGTCCTGCCTTTTAAGATAAGCAATCAACTTCGTTTGAGTGCTTATTTGAGTGATGCAACTCTATCTGTTTTAAGGGTGTACGTTGTTGAAAAACCGATAGAGAATGAAAATGTAGGACAAGACCAACAAAATCTGTTAAATGATGAATTGAATGAGATGAACATGAATATTCTAGATGATGAGATTGGACATGATGTGGAGGAGGACCAAACACCTACACTTATTGTTGATGTAAGGGACAGTTCTCAGTTAAAACAGTTGAACAATCTTCAAGATGATGAGACAGGTTTTTACATAGGAATGACATTCAAGAACAAAGACGAACTAGTCACTTCATTGCATATTGCTTGCTTGAAAAAAGATTTCAGACTTGCAAAGGTGATTAATTCGCGTAGTGTGTATTGTTTTAAATGCGCATATCCAGAGTGCAAGTGGTGGTTGAGGGCTGTGAAATTCAAAAGTTCTGACAGATTTTGTATTAAAATTTATAAAAAGTATCACACATGTGGTTCAGAGCATATTACGAGTCATAATCCACATGCCACAGCAAAAGTCCTTGGTAAATACTTCAAAAATAGCTTTCCTAATGGTAAAGGTCCATCTACAAGAGATATGACCAATAAACTCCGTACAGAATTGGGTTGTAAGGTGAGTTATTGGAAGATATATAAGGGTAGGGAGATTGCAAAGTCTTTGGTTAGGGGAACACATGAGCACGGGTATGGAGTGCTTGATGCATACCGCTATATGCTTGAGTCCGCAAATCCAGGAAGTAAGACGGCATTGCAGGTTGATGAAAATGGAAAGTTCAAGTACTTTTTTGTAGCCTATGCGGCTTGGATTCAAGGTTTTCAACAATTGAGAAAAGTCATAGCCGTTGATGGGACATTCTTGAAGAGCAAGTATGAAGGAGTTTTACTATCGGCGATGGCGCAAGATGCAGAGAATCATATTTTTCCAGTGGCTTTTTGTGTAGTGGATAAAGAATGTGATTCCTCATATCAATATTTTTTTGAACAAATGAGAAGTTATGTAGATGATACCGATGAGCTGTGCATAATTTCTGATAGGCATTCAAGTATTCGAAAGATGGTTTCAATTGTGTATCCATCAGCTCATTATGGTTGTTGCATGAGGCACCTTGGAGAAAATATTCGAAACAATTTTCACAATGCAAAGGTCGTATCTCATTTTTATAATGCAGCGAAAGCGTACAATAAAGTTGAGTTCTATGACCATTTCAATCAGATAAGGGATATGGTACCCAAAGCAGCCGAACATCTCGAATCAGTGGGATTTCATAGATGAAGCAGGGCATTTTGCCCGGGAAATAGGTACAATATTATATATTGAGTATCTTGTTTAAGTTTAATATAATTATATATCTTATTAAGTTATTTTTTTTATAGGTATAATATTATGACCTCAAACATTGTTGAATCCGTAAATGCAATGTTTGAAGTTGAAAGAGAATTTCCTATCGTAGCTTTGTTTGACGAAATAAATATGAGATTTGCAAAATTATTTCACGAAAGACGTATGGAGTTGGTCAACTCACCAAACATATTTGTTCCTTCAATGGAAAAACAAATATCAAAGAATATCAATTTGGGAAATAAGTTATTGGCCCATCAAATAGCCAATTACAGGTTTAGTATCAACGGTCATGGTGATGTTGCCACGGTCGATCTTCAAAGAAGAATGTGCACATGTAGAGTTTTTGACTTGGACAAAATACCTTGTCCACATGCTATGGCAGCGCTTCGATCCCAATATGGTGCACATTTTGGAAATCAGATCTATGAGTACTCGTCTTCATATTATTCGGTGGAAAAATACATAATTGCATATTGTGAGGAAATTAATCCGGTGCCTCCTGAAGATTCTTGGATTGTTCCTTTGGAGATATTGGAGAGAGAAATATCTCCTCCATATGTTGACCCAAGCAAACCGGGAAGAAGGCGAACGAAAAGGAGGCGTGGAGTCGGGGAATCATTTCCAACAAGAAAAAATAAGTGTTCAATATGTAAAAATATTGGACACAAGAGAACAACATGCCCGGTTCGAAATGCTCTATAATTATTGTAATAGTGAAATAGCTATTTTGTACTTAGTTATGAATTTGATAATTGTAATTCATTTTGGTTAATTTTGTATGTTCATACTTATAATATACAATATATTAGTTATGCTCATTCGTTGCAACAACCTTTGCATATTTTGCATTAGATGCATTATTTATTGCAATAGATAATCCATCTGTTGAAAATAATCAAATAAATATGATTATCTGTTGCAACAATTATTGGAATCAGTTACAACAAATATCTAATATGTATTATCTGTTGCAATAGATGACTCATCCAATGGAAATAATCAAGTATATATACTCATCTGTTGCAATGGATGTTTCATTTGTTGCAATATATGAGCATCAGTTGCAACAGATGAGCATATATGTTTGATCATTTTCAATCGACTCTATATTATTTTGATATGAAATGCTTTATTAGCCCATAATTAGTGATAAATAAAGTTTTTTAATTATAATTATCTTTTAATTAATAAGTTCAATTACATTATAGAGTAATTACATGATCAACTAACTGTATTCGTCTTAATTAAAGTGATCAATTGATTATTTTGATATGAAATGCTTCATTAACCCATAATTAGTGATAAATAAAGTTATTTAATTATAATTACCTTTCAATTATTAAGTTCAATTACATTTTCAATGCATTATAGAGTAATTACATGATCAGCTAATTGTATTCGTCTTAAATAAAGTGATCAATTGATTATTTTTACATGAAAATGCTTCATTAGCCCATAATTAGTGATAAATAAAGTTATTTAATTATAATTACATTTCAGTTATAAGTTTAATTATAATCTCAATGCATTATAGAGTAATTACATGATCAACTAACTGTATTCGTCTTAAATAAAGTGATCAATTGATTATTTTTACATGAAAATGCTTCATTAGCCCATAATTAGTGATAAATAAAGTTATTCAATTATAATTATATTTCAGTTATAAGTTTAATTATAATCTCAATGCATTATAGATTAATTACATGATCAGCTAACTGTGTTCGTCTTAAATAAAATGATCAATTGATTATTTTGATATGAAATGCTTCATTAACACATAATTAGTGATAAATAAATTTATTTAATTATAATTAACTTTCAATTAATAAGTTCAATTACATTTTCAATGCATTATAAAGTAATTAGATGATCAGCTAACTGTATTCGTCTTAAATAAAGTGATCAATTGATTATTTTTACATGAAAATGCTTCATTAGCCCATAATTAGTGATAAATAAAGTTATTCAATTATAATTATATTTCAGTTATAAGTTTAATTATAATCTCAATGCATTATAGATTAATTATATGATCAGCTAACTGTGTTCGTTTAAATAAAATGATCAATTGATTATTTTGATATGAAATGCTTCTTTAACCCATAATTAGTGATAAATGAAGTCAATTATAAGTTCAATTACAATAGATAACCTATCTGTTGCAATAAATAACACATCTGTTGAAAATAATCAAATAAATATGATCATTTGTTGCAATGGATGATTCATGAGTTACAATAAATGTCTAATATGTATTATCTGTTGCAATAGATGACCCATCCGTTGAAAATAATCAAACATATATGTTCATTTGTTGCAATGGATGATTCATCAGTTACAATAAATGAGTTACAACATATTATAACCTGTTGCAACATATGTTTCAATAGTATAATTTAACTTTTTACAAATCTAAAAATAAAATAGAATTCATGATAAAATAACTGAACATCTATATAACATAAAATATTGTCATCGGCAATTACAAAATATGATTAACTAAATATGTTAAGTGTTCATGAATTACAATTCATATAAAATTTTCCAGCTTACAAAATAGAATTCATGATAAAATAACTGGACATCTATTAAATATAAGATATTGTCATCAGCAATTACAAAATATCAGGTTCTTCACCTTACAAAATATGACTTCAGCAATCCATATCCTCTACAACTTCTGCTGCTCTTCTATAGCTCCTGAAGATGACTCAACATTGCAAGGAAGGGGAGTAGTTGCAATTTGTTGTCTTTTTTTCATATTTGATAATATCTTGGAAATTGATTTTCTTCTCCTCTTAATCTTCAATGGTGTGAATGACTCCGAAATTTTTCTTGATGGAATAACACCTCTCTTAGATATCAATTCCTTAACAGCACTAGTAAGAGCATCAAGAGACTTCTTCACGTCTTCACCAGTAGATATTAACTGAGCCTCTTTGTTCTTGCATTCTTCATATTTACATGCAGAACATGAGCTAGAAGAAGAAGCAAAAGATGTGGTATGTCCACTGAAAGGGGCGAATCCACCATATATACCACTAACATCATCAACATGCTCACCACCACTTTTAGCACCAGCATCACCAATATCAACACCAATATTAACATCAACATCAACATCTAATGCAACATCATCAGCATCACCAGAAACAATAGGTGCTTCCCTTTTGATCGTTGTTGCTCCAACCAATTCTTTTTTTATTAGATCCACTATAGGGTCTGATTTGGTGTCAATAATTTCTAGAGTTAAAAAGAATGACATTTGCAACTCTTGCTCTGTGGGAACAAGCCATGAATGTACAATCTATAAACAAAAATAACTTATATTAAAACAAATCTATAAGTTATAATAGATAAAATATTTATTGTAATATTAATTATATATTTTTTCTCTAACAGATGGCCCATATGTTGCAACAGATGGGCCATCTATTGGAAAAAAACAAAACAGTAGCAAATGATCATTTTTTTACAACAGATGACTCATATGTTGCAGCAGATATGCCATCTGTTGGAAGTAAGCAAAACAGCAGTAAGCTATTGAGATTTCGTCCAATAGATGACTCATCTATAGCAACAGATCGGTAAGTTGTTGGACGAAAGCAAAACAGTAAAAAAAGATTGAGATTTTGTCCAATATATGACCTATCTATTGCAACAAATAGGTATGCTGTTGGACGAAAGCAAAACAACAAAAAAAAGATTTAAATTTTGTTCAATATATGACCTATTTGTTGCAACAAATAGGTCATCTGTTGAACCTAAATAAAACAGCAACAAATGATAAAGTTTTCATCCAAATAAATGACACATCTATTGCAACATATTAGTCATTTGTTGGGCAAAATCAAAACAGTAGCAAACTCTTATGTTTTCTTCCAACAGATGACTCATCTATTGCAATAGATGATTATAGATGAGTCATATATTGGAAGAAAACTAAATGAAAGCAAAACAAATAATCAGTTAATTTAAATAAATATTATTCTATAGAAGACTTACTATATCATGAGGAGGATCGAAGAGATCAACAGAATTTATTTTTGGGTTGTTCTTGACAGACAACCACCTAAGAATCCTTGGCTGAGAAATTTTTTTCGAATAATCATTGAATTGCTTCCTGAGGTAAGGTATTGCTTCAAATGCCCAAGCCTAAAAATATAAAGATGATGAAAGTAAACATTTAAATTAATTATTCAATAACACAGATAAATAAAATACTAAAATTAGAGGTGAAGTTTACCATGAAAGCCCAAGGAAAGCCATATAAATTGGTTGTCTTCGGTGATAACTTTGACATCAAATACTCGATAGTCAAGAAATAACTATTATTACCCCATGGGTAATTGTTGAATGCATCCAAATCTTGAGCAAGCACAAACAAACTAAGATCTATGACATTGTTGATGTCTTTAGCCCATAAAATGGCATGCACAAACCAAACTAAGCACAATCGCTCTTTGTGCTTCTTCAAAACCTTTTTGCTTTGGAGGTCTTCTATCAAATCTTTGGCTTTATAACTAGGTCCAATAATAGCCAACAACTCATTTTCATTATTTAGTTTTTCTTTGCCTTTGTTGGTTTTTGTGTTGACTGGCTTTTTACCTTTCTTGCCAACCTTGACTGATTTAGATATCTTTTTTTCTCTTGGCTTTCTTAAGCGTGCAACTTTAGGAAGAGGTTCAGAAGGAGGATGACATCTCAGTCCAGTCACTATGACAAATTCTTTCATGCCAAAACAAACTGGCATGCCACAGTAGTTTATCCAAATCTCATCCATTTTCTTATTCTTATTCTCCAAAGCATCATCATCATCTCCCTTATACTTGATCCTGCGCTTGAGAAGATCATACACCATGCTCATTTGAAAACGTGCATTGTTAGCCTCCGGCAGATCAAGAAAGTATCCAAAACAGCTAGACTTAAAGAAATCCTCCAACTTTTCATTCATTAACATCGTTCTAAAAGCATCAAATTTGGCACCCATGGCTGATTTTACAACAAAATCACCTGTCAAATTTGTAGGGTCATCTATAGGCATCTCTACCTGAAACTTGTCAATATTAAAATTTTTGACAACATCTTCATCTCCTTCCTCACTTTCAGTATCATCTCCTTCATCACTTTCATTTTCATCTCCATCCTCTTCATCTCCTTTCTCACTTTCAGTATCATCTCCTTCATCACTTTCATTTTCATCTCCATCCTCTTCATCTCCTTCCTCACTTTCTTTTTCACCTTCCTCCTTATTTTCTTTATCATTTTCAGTTTCTTCATCATCTCCATCTTCATCATTTATTTCCTTTTCTTCTTTATTTTTATTTTTATCTACCTCCTCTACAATTTTCATATTTTCATTTTGTTTCTGTACAACACGTTCTTTCAATGGTGTTTGTACTTTAGCTACTTTACTTGATTTATCAGAGACTGATTCACTTGTTTTTCTTTTGGAAGCCATTTTTCTACAAATAGAAAAAATGAAAAAATTTACAATCAATTGTGCATCATTAAAAAAAGATAGCAATAAATTTAATAAATTCAATATAATATAATATTCTATAGATAATCCACTTGTTGCAACAAATAACCTATCTGTTGTAACAAATAGGCCATCTATTGCAACAGGGGAGGCCCTAATGTAGTTAATTTCAAAAGATAAATATAAGACCAACTTTTTACCAGAACTAGGACATTCATATACTTATATTGTCTAGGCATTACAAGGTTCAACAAAAAAGTGCATGTTGAATTCTTTACCTACTTCAGCAATAAAAGCAAACTAGCATCTCTTCAATTAAAACCTTGTTTAGAGCAAGAAGACTAACTCCCAAAACTTGCACTTTTTTTCTTTTTTTTCTAATAGTGATGTTTAGATCAACTTGCATGCATTTCAACAAAGTATTCATTACTAAGTTCAATTACTTTGCCTGGTTTGTCTATACAAATGAAGCATGACATCAAACTTGCTAATTTATCCAACAAGAGGAAGACACAAAGTAGTAGCCCTTAGTTACACAATCAGGTAAATAGTTATGGGAAACAAAGTTATGATTTTGTATCATATTAGTATAAATTAAGCCAAAAATAACATTTGCAATGAAAGATCAGAAATGAATAGAACAAAAATAATCAATCTTTATCATCTCAAAAGCAAAATACAACAAAAACAAATGTAAGTTTAAGAAAAGAGGAATGAACAAGAAAGCAGGGACACCCTTTCTTTCTTTCCTTTCTCGAGTGTTCTAACCTCCACCTTCCACCCATCAGAAACCCAATTGGGCAAACCCCTTTTCTTCCCCATCTCACCTAAATTATCAACTAACCCCACTAATCCTCTCCAAGTATCCCAAAAAACAAAAAAAAACAAATAAAAATCAAATCTTGCCAAAAATTGTCCTAAAGCATAGGGTGGGGTTAGTCGATTTGCTCTTCCTAGAACAATCAGTTGGTCCACTTCCTAAAGCATAAACAAGCAAAAACTTCATTGTCTTAACATGAATCGCACAAAACCTAGGCAGCTCTTGAGGGAAGAGTATATACAAATTGTAAAGCTATTAAAAAAAAAACAACCTAAAAAGCCCTAATTTTTTTCAAAAAAATAAAGCTTTACCTGCAAATTGTTGTTCCTTTGGATGGTTAGAATAGAAGAATCGAAAGTTCAAAGTACGGCCGTCGGAAGTTGAAAGTTGCCGGAGAAATTGATTGTTCCAATCAAAGCAATTTTTTATTTTTGGGAAGTATGAAATCTTTCTGCAGTAGAGTGAAGAGAAACGTGAGATTTGATAGAGGGGAAGGGAGTGGAAAATTTGTTTATTTAGTAGGAGGATTGTTTTGTATTTTTAAAAAGATTATAAGTTTTGAAAATGTTAATTGAGTCCACAATTAACTTAATTTAGTGTTTAAGTATGTTTGACCTTTTGTTGGTCAATATAGTCACCAATAACTAATTCAAAACTTAAAGGATACCTTTCCTTCAATTTTCTCTAGTATATCAGACCAAACGGTGTATAAAAAGTAATATTTGCATAATTAATGTAAGACTAATATAAGCTCTAGTAATGCAAACATTATTAATGCATCATATTTTACATTATTCTTGTACAATGAAAATTTAAGGAGGAGTTTGAGTCTTCTTGAAGATAAGAGGGTATTTTGCCTTTTTCTCGTTTTGGGGTGAATTTCCAACCACATACCGTAGATAAGTATAGAACATAGCAGTTGACTTGTGTATTAGCCCATATTCATTAGAAACTTTCATTTTTGGAGCATCAATTAACTGACTGAAACCATGGCATCATCATCTTCCTTAAGAACTTCATGGCCGTATGATGTGTATCTAAGCTTTAAAGGCAAAGATATGCCTACAAATTTTTTACGTTTGTACGAGGGTTTGAGAAAGAGGGGAATTTTCAGTTTTCTAGATGACGATGATGTTTATTATGATTATTATTATCATGATGATGATGATGATGATGATGATGATGCTTTAATTCTAAGGAATACCCGATCGTATTTTCAACGAATCCCGCAAGCTATGGAAGAGTTTCAAGTTGCCCTAGTTGTTTTCTCAAAGAATTATGCGACATCAAGACGGTGCTGGGATCATTTAGTGAAAATCATGGAATGCAACCAGAAAAAGGAACTAACAGTCATACCGATCTTCTATGGTGTGGATCAAGCAGATGTTCAGAAGCAAAGGGGGAGGTTTGCAGAAGCATTTGCCAAACACGAAAAGTGGTGGAAGTCTGATGAAGAAATGGACGAGGTGAAAAGATGGAGGAGCACTTTAACTCAAGTGGCCAATCTCAGCGGTTGTGTTATCCATGATAGGTGAGTTAAATTAAAACAACACGTTAACTGAAATGTAGATAAGAATTTATCCATTGAACAAAGAATCTGTACCTAAAATTTTGAGTTTGATTTATGTGCTTTGTCCCTTTATCATAATTATGCACTACTCAACAATGTGAATTATTTTCTTGTTGACTTTCTGACCTGTATATGTATCAACAATCTTTTTACTTTATGTAGGACCATATCGAAATGTATTCCAGATCTTATTGATCAAATTTCATCCAAATTATTGGAGGCTTCTTTAACTTATTTCTCAAATGTTGTGGGAATAGAAACTCATTTGAAGGAAGTAGGATCCCTGCTAGAGATGGAAATTGATGATGTTCGGATTGTGGGTATATGGGGAGTTGGGGGAGTCGGTAAAACGACAATCGCAAAAGCTGTTTTTGATAGACTATCATCTCAATTTGATGGTGCTTGTTTCCTTGCCGACATTAAAGAGAACAAACATGGAATGCACTCTCTGCAAAATATCCTTCTCTCTGAACTATTAAGGGAAAAAACTAATTACGTGAACAGTAAGGAGGACGGAAAGCACCTGATTGCTCACAGACTTCGTTTTAAGAAGGTTTTAGTTGTGCTTGATGACATAGATCACAAAGACCATTTGGATTACCTAGTAGGGGATCTTCGTTGGTTTGGCAATGGAAGCAGAATCATTGCAACAACCAGAGACAAGCAAATTATGGGGAAGGATAATGTAGTGTATGAAGTGACTACATTAGTTGACCATGAAGCTATTCAACTGTTTAATCAATATGCTTTCAGGGGAAAAGTACTAGGTGAGTTTTTTGTGAAGCTAGCATTGGAGGTAGTAATTCATGCGAAAGGCCTTCCTTTAGTCCTAAAAGTATTGGGTTCTTTCTTACATAAGAAGGACATGATTGTGTGGAGAACTGTTGTAAACCAAATAAAGAGAAACACTAATTCAAATTTTGTTGAAAACCTCAAAATAAGTTATGATGGGTTGGATCATGAAGAGAAAGAGATATTTCTAGATATCGCATGCTTCTTAAGAGGGAGAAAAAAAAAAGAGATCCTGCAAATTCTTGAGAGCTGTGGTTTTGGAGTTGATATCGGATTGAAGGTCCTAATTGACAAATCTCTTGTGTTCATCTCTGAATATGATACAATTCAAATGCATGACTTAATACAAGAGATGGGTAGATATATAGTGAAAATGCAAAAGGATCCGGGCAAACGTAGCAGAATATGGGACGCTGGAGATTGCGAAGAAGTGATTATCAACAACACAGTAAGTAGGCTAGACAATGCAATAATAATCAATTTCTAGTTTGCATATTCTAAAAACATATAGGGCAGTCAATTCCAATTATGTGTTCTATTGCTTCATATTCTTGCGGCTACGTCATTTTTATCGTTAATTTTAACAGAAGAAGCAAAAGTAACAATAATTGCCTCGCATAGTTAATTCGTCTATCTCATGTTATTATGCCATGACTTAGTATAGTGGCTACTTAATATGTTTTATCCAATTTCATTCTTTGGATTAGCTTGTAATTTGTATGACATTCTGTACATACTAACTCAATCAGTAATTCTATTTTTTTAAGCTAATATCACCCAGATATTTACCCTGAGTAACTTTCTATTAATAAAAATCCTCAAACGAAGAAAATACAACTGAGGGCCATAACTTAACTTGGTACGAATCCTCAGCCCGAAATTCCCTTGATCATTGATTACTTTTTTTAATTTAAAAGATGACAATTATTGGTACTGCTTCAACTACAATTTCGTTTTATCAGAGCATGGAAAACCTTTTGACTCGACTCTAAAACACTTCTCAAAAAATGCATCATTAGAAAATATAATTAATTGCACAAAGCATTTCTCTTAAGTGGCATATTTCTTAAGAAAGACCTAACTAATATTTGTACCCTATGTTTCTTCAAGAACTTCAAGTGCAATTATAAATAATACTAAACATGACAAAAATTTGCATGTGAGGAGTATAGTAAGAAAATAGTGATATTGGTAATTAGTGGATTGTACCTGGCATCGGGAGTTATGATTTGTTGACTTATGATCTTTTTACCAGGGGACCGAGGAAGTGGAAGCAATCTGGCTTACTTGTTTTGAACGACGATTTTTTAATGAAAAGGCAATGAAAAATATGCAAAGGCTTAGGATACTATACATATGTGATGATAGGTTGACTTCCTTCTCTTCAGATCCCTCTTTGATTAGTTTGGGAAGTGTTCCCTGGGGCTCCAATGGGTACCTGCCCAACAACTTGCGTTGGTTTGTTTGGAAGCACTTTCCTTGGGAGTCATTGCCAGAAAATTTTGAACCCAAAAGCCTTGTTCATCTTGATCTCCGGGGGAGTTCGCTGTGGCATTTATGGATGGAAACAAAGGTACTGTTTTATTTGAGATACTATCTATTTTCTTTTGTACTATGATACTTGTGTTTTAAATGAAATAGGTTATTATAATATCTTTATGTCTTTTTCTTTCAAATCTTTGCATCATAATTTTAACTAAGAAGCTCAATTTAAATACTTGTGTTGTTTCGTTACTCTCTTTGTTATCATTTATCCTCCTAACGAGTCTCAGGTCTCCACACTGCCACATGACATTTTTTGAAATAATATGTATAAATATATATACACACACACTCACACTTATCATTTATCCTCCTAACGAGTCTCAGGTCTCCACACTGCCACATGACATTTTTTGAAATAATATGTATAAATATATATACACACACACTCACACTCTTTTACCTTATTTTAGTTTTGGACCAAAATTTTAAAATACATGCTTGGAACTCCACTACTTGGGCTAAAATTTTTCATTTTAGTAAAAGTAATGGAGTTTCAATCAGTTTTTTTCCACAGGCTTGGCCTGAAAAAGAAAAATACAATACTGAAATAAATAGTCATTGCATCTAAAGAGGAAATAAAAAGAAAACACAGCTGGAACTCTACTACCTTGGCTAAATCTTCTTTTATGTGGATAATCAAAATGAAATTTCAACCAACTGTTTTTACAGATTTGGTCCGGAAAAAACAACACCACAAGTACAATAAATAGTCATGGCATCTAAAGAAGAAATAAAAAAATTACACAATCCATTATTTTGGCTAAAACATTTTTCTTTTTTGGCTGAAAATAATGGAATTGCAACCAAATTCTTTTATATAAATATCCCCCCCCCCCAAAAAATAAAAAAAATAAAAAATACATACTTGAAATAAATAGTCACTGCATCTAAAGACGAAACAAAAAAGAAATATGCAGTTGGAACTGTATCATTTTGGCATAACTTTTCTGTTCGGCTAAAACAATGGAATTCTAGCCAAGTAATTTTGCTATAGATTTGGTCACAAATAAGAAAAAAATACACAAATAAAGCAAATAGCCATTACATCTAAAGAATAAAAAAATGTATACAAATTTGGGTTAAAATGTGCATTCTAAAAAAGAAGAAGCAAGATGAGATTTGTGAAAAATATCTCACTTAGAAGCTAATTTTTCAATTAAACACAGGTCATTTGATTCATAGATAAGCCCACTAGCTAAATCTAAATGCGGGGCAGCTACTGTTGTTGTTTTCCTATATATCTTTCTTTATGTATTCTGAATATATTGCAGCATTTGCCGTCTCTACGAAAGCTAGATCTCAGCTACTCCAAAAGCCTAAAGCAAACACCAGATTTCACAGGGATGCCTAATTTGCTGTATTTGAATATGGAGGAATGTTCGAGTCTTGAAGAGGTTCACCATTCCCTAGGTTGTTGCAGAGAACTCATTGAGTTAAATTTGCAGAGTTGTGGAAGCCTAAAGAGGTTTCCATGTGTTAATGTGAAATCTATTAAATGTCTGCACCTAGATGGTTGCTGTAGTTTAGAGAAATTTCCAAGTATCCGGGGGAAAATGAAGCCGGAGATAAAGATTCACGTGGAACGCTCTGGGTTAAGGAAAGTACCATCAGCTGTTATTCAGCACCAATCTATTCCTACAGAGCTAGATTTGAGTGGCATGAAAAACCTTGCAACACTTCCACGCAGCATTCTCGAGTTGAAAGGTTTGGTGAAGCTAAAAGTGTCCTCCTGCTCAAAGCTTGGAAGATTGCCAGAAGAGATAGGTGATTTAGAAAACTTGGAGGAGCTTCATGCCACAGGGACTCTAATTTCACGACCTCCGTCTTCCATTGTCCGCTTGAACAAGCTTAAATTCTTGACTTTTGCAAAAAATCAATTAGAAGATAGAGTGCGCTTTGTGTTCCCTCAGGTGAATGAAGGGTTACTCTCATTGGAAAAACTGGATCTCAGTTACTGCAATTTAAAAGACGGAGGACTTCCGGAAGACATTGGATCCTTATCCTCTTTGAAGGAGTTGAATCTCGAAGGAAATAATTTTGAGCTTTTGCCTCAAAGCATAGCCCAACTTGGCTCTCTTCAATCCTTGACCTTATTACATTGCAAGAGGCTTACACAGCTGCCAGAATTTCCACAGCAATTAGATACAATAACTGCTGATTGGAGCTATGATTCAATCTGTAATTCGTTGTTTCAGAATATCCCATCATTGCAGCATGACATCTGTGCTTCAGATTCCTTGTCACTAAGAGTGTTTACAAGTTTGGGGGAGGATATCCCAAGTTGGTTCCACCATCAGGGAATGGATACAAGTGTATCAGTCAATTTGCCTGAGAATTGGTATGTATCAGATAACTTCTTGGGATTTGCTGTATGTTACTTTGGAAACTTAAGTAACACCAGAGTTGACTTGATTCCCTTATGTGATGACGGGATGTCGTGGATGACTCAGAAACTTGCCTTATCCAACCATTCAGAAGAATTTCCAGAAACTGTTATTCATTTTTTCTTGGTACCTTTGGCTGGCATATGGGATACATCTACGGCAAATGGAAAAACACCAAATGACTATGGGCTTATTAGGTTATCTTTCTCTGGAGAAATGAAGGAGTTTGGATTTCGTTTGTTGTATAAAGACGAACCAAAACTTGAGGGCTTGTTACAAATAAGGGAAAATACTGAATCCATGGCATCATCTTCTTCTTCTGCTGGATCGTCACATTTGCGTCAATGGAAGTACAATGTCTTTCTATGTTTTAGAGGTGAAGATACCCGCAGAACATTTAGGAGTCACTTGTACCAAGGTTTGAGAAACAGGGGAATATTCACCTTTCAAGGTGATAAAAGGCTAGAGCATGGCGATTCGATCCAAGAAGAACTCTTGAAAGCTATCGAAGAATCTCAAGTTGCCCTCATTGTTTTCTCAAAGAATTATGCTACATCGAGGTGGTGCTTGAATGAACTAGTGAAGATCATGGAATGCAAGGAAGAAAATGGACAGACTGTCATACCTGTGTTCTATGATGTGGATCCATCACATGTTCGGAACCAAAGGGAGAGCTTTGCAGAAGCCTTTGCCCAACACGAATCGAAGTATAAGGATGATGCTGAAGGAATGCAGAAGGTGAAAGGATGGAGGAATGCCCTAACAGCTGCCGCAGATCTAGAAGGATACGATATCCGTGACGAGTGAGTTAAAAATACATAATTGCTTTCCATGAAAAAAGAAACGGAATTATTTCCATTCAAATTTGGACTCTTCACTACCTACGAAACTGAGTCAAACAGAATGATTATATGTTTCTCAATTAATTTTTTCATATTTTCTAAAAATAGAATAATTATATTTGTAAGAAGGCATAGTTCCTATAAGTTTTATTGCTCAATGACATTGTTAGGTAGATAATGTTTTAATTAGTTCTTCAAGAGTTCGGTTTTATCAGTAAGAAGGCATGGTACTATCAATTAAAAACACATAAAAGAATGATGGTAGATTGTATATGTTTCTATCAGTAAGAAGGTAGAATGCATAGTCTTATCAATTCAATCAGAGAGAACACATAGAAATCCTCTTAAACTATTCAAGTTTTGCAACTTTCGTATAGATTGTTGCTATTACCCTTAACAATATGAAATATTTACTAGTACTCGACTTTCTCACATTCTCCACAATCAATCTTCTTATTTATGTAGGATTGAATCTCAGAATATTCAGCAGATCGTCAAATTGTGCAATAGTGCTTATTCTTCATCCTCTTTGCAAGATGTTGTGGGAATAAGTGCTCATTTAGAGAAACTAAAATCCCGTCTTGAAATAGAAATCCATGATGTTCGGATCGTAGGGATCTGGGGAACAGGTGGAATCGGTAAAACGACAATAGCAAAAGCCATCTTTCATACTCTATCTTATCAATTTAAAGCTGCTTGTTTTCTTGAGAATGTTAAAGAAAATGCCAAAAAGAATCAACTGCATTCTTTACAAAATACCCTTCTCTCTGAACTGTTAGGAAAAACAGATGATTACGTCAATAATAAGTACGATGGGAAGTGCATGATTCAGAACAGACTTTCTTCTATGAAGGTGCTAATTGTGCTTGATGACATTGATGAAAGAGATCATTTGGAGTATTTAGCAGGTGATATTGATTGGTTTGGTAATGGCAGCAGAGTTGTTGTAACAACTAGAAATAGAGATTTGATAGAGAAGGATGATGCAATATATGAAGTGCCTACACTACCTAATCTTGAAGCTATGCAACTGTTCAATCAGTATGCTTTCAAAAAAGAAGTTCCAGATGAGCGTTTTAAAAACTTCTCGTTGGAGGTAGTAAATCATTCTAAAGGCCTTCCTTTAGCCCTCAAGGTGTGGGGTTCTTTGTTGCATAGGAAAGGCCTAACTCAATGGAGAAGAACTGTAGACAAAATAAAGGAAACTTATAGTTCAGAAATTGTTGAAAAACTCAAAATTAGTTATGATGGGTTGGAGCCCAAAGAACAAGAGATATTTCTAGATATAGCTTGTTTTTTCCGAGGAGATGAAAAAAAGAAAGTCATGCAAATCCTTGAGAGCTGTGATTTTGGAGCTGAATATGGATTGGATGTCCTAATTGAAAAATCTCTTGTCTTCTTAACTGAAGATGATACAATTGAAATGCATGACTCAATACAAGATATGGGTAAATATATAGTGAAAATTCAAAAGGATGCGGGCGAATGTAGCAGAATATGGGACCATGAAGATTTTGAAGAAGTGATGGTCAACAATACAGTAAGTAGGCTAAACAATACAATAGTTTTCAATTTCTAGTTTTCATATTCCAAAGACATATAGGGTCAATTCCATTATTTGTTCTTCTTACTTCATATTTCCGCACTTAAGTCACATCAGTTTTTTACTTTAGTAGTAGAAGCAAGTAACATTAATTGTCTAACACAGCCTAGTTCATCAACTAACCACTTTAATTACCACTGCCTAATTTGTTTTTTCTTATGTTACTAAGCCTTGATTTAGTTTAGTTGCCACTTACTCTGTTTAAGCCAACTTCTTTTTTTGAAATAACTTGAATTTTGTATGACATTTTATATATACTAACTCAATCAGGTATTCACTTTACCGTTGAAATTACAAGTTATTGGCACTACTACTTTACAATTTTATAATGTCACTGCATGAAAAAACTCTCAGACTTGACTCAGAAGCACTTCTCAGAAAATGTATAACTCCATTAGAAAATAGAATTGTTGAACTAATTGCACAAAGTATTTCTCTTAAGCAACATGTTTCGTTTAAAAGACCTAGCAAATATAGTACGCTAATTTGGCACTGCGAGGATTGAGGAAGTAATCATATTGGTGATTGGATTTTATACGACATTTGAAGTTATACTTATGTAAAGAAATGATCTTTTTTACCAGGGGACCAAGGCAATGGAAGCAATCTGGTTTCGTTATGATGAGAAAATATGCTTTAGCAAAGAGGCCATGGAAAATATGGAAACACTTAGGATATTATACATATGGTCCCAAGATTGCTCCCCTTGCCATGATGGCTCCATTCAGTACCTGCCCAACAACTTGCGTTGGTTTGTCTGGAATCACTTTCCTTGGGAGTCATTGCCAGACAATTTTGAACCCAAAAGGCTTGTTCATCTTCAACTCCGCTTCAGTTCACTGCGCTATTTATGGACGGGAATAAAGGTACAATAATTAAATTCTTGTTTAATTTTATTTTCTCTCTAACTATCTGTCCTTTAGTGATGCACAAATACTATTTCTTTCAGCCTGTTTTATTTGATATACTTTATATTTTGGCTTGTTCTGAAATTATGATGCATGTCTTTAAATGAAAAGAAGTTGTTAAATCCATAAACTCAAATTAGTATATTTTAAGTAATTTTGGGTTATTCTCATATCTATTACTGTAAGCTCTTTTTGTCGTTTTTCTCCCAAATCTTCCTAATTTAATATTAACTTATAAGAAGCTAAGTCGTTCAAACATTTCCCTAGCAAGATATGAATCTCATCCTAAGATTGCATGTAGTGCACTAGTGGGACGGAAGGAATACTTGTTAAAACATGAAGGGTAATTATAGAAAAATACAATGTTGAAATAAATAATCATTGCATCTAAAGAGAAAATAGGGCAAATTACAGAAATCACATACTATTAAGGCAAAATTACAATTTATCCCTTAAAAGTTTATAATTACAGAAATCCCTCAAACGGATACAATAATATAAGCGCTGATACATTAATCTGATGCGCGAGATACAATAATATAAGCGTTGATACATTAATCTGATGCGCGAAAATGAGGGATTTTGGAGATTTGTAATACTTATAGGGGATAATGGTAATAAGTAAACTAAAAGGTGGGATTTCTGTAATTTTTCCAAAATAAAAAGAAAACACTGTTGGAACTCTACTTCCTTGGCTAATTTTATTTATTTATTTGGATAAACGTACTGAAACTTTAGCCAATTTTTTTGTATATATTCTTTTACCTGTCTGTTCTTGTTTTTCTTTCTCATCCTTTTTCTGTTCTGAATAGCAGCATTTTCTGTATCTACGGACGCTAGATCTCAGCCGCTCTAGAGACCTGATGCAAACACCAGATTTCACGGAGATGTCAAATTTGGAGTATTTGGATTTGGGCAATTGTATTAATCTTGAAGAGGTTCACCATTCCCTGGGATGTCCCACAAAACTCAAGAGGTTAAATTTGATATATTGTAGACGCCTTAAGAGGTTTCCATGTGTTAACGTGGAATCTCTTGAATATCTGGATCTAAAGTTCTGCTCCCGTTTAGAGAAATTTCCAGAAATCTGCGGAAGAACGAGGCCGAATTTAAAGATTACGATGTGTGACTCTGAGATAAGGGAACTGCCATCATACATTGTTCAGTGCCTAACTCTGAGACATTTGGATAATCTTGTAGCTCTTCCGAGCAGCATTGGCATGTTGAAAGGTTTGGTTATTCTTGATGTGTCAAATTGCTATAAACTTGAAAGCTTGCCAGAAGAGCTAGGCGATTTAGTAAACTTGGAGAAGGTTGACGCATCAGGGACTCTAATTTCACGACCTCCGTCTTCCATCGTCCGCTTGAACAAGCTTACATTCATGAGTTTTGCGAAACAAAGATATAACGTAAGCCTCGAAGAGGGAATGTACTTTGCGTTCCCTCAAGTGAATGAAGGGTTACGCTCATTGGAAGATCTGGATCTCAGTTACTGCAATTTAAAAGTTGGAGGACTTCCTGAAGACATTGGATCCTTATCCTCTTTAAAAGAGTTGAATTTCACTGGAAATAATTTTGAGCATCTTCCTGGAAGCGTAGCCCAACTTGGTGCTCTTCGATCCTTGGACTTAAAAGAGTGCAAGAGGCTTGAAGAGTTGCCAGACTTCATGGGGATGCCAAACTTGATGACGCTGAATCTCAGTATAATTAACATTGGGCATTTGCCTCAAAGCATAAACCAACTTGGTGCTCTTCGATCCTTGGACCTATCATATTGCAAGAGGCTTAAAGAGTTGCCAAGCTTCATGGGAATGCAAAACTTGGAGACTTTGAATTTGTCAAATTGTATAAATCTTGAAGAGGTTCATCATTCCCTGGGATTTCTCAAAAAGCTCTGTACATTAAAATTGACTAATTGTAAACGGCTTAAGAGGTTTCCAGCTCTGTGCATTGATTCTCTTGAGTATCTGTGTCTACGGGATTGCTCTAGTTTAGAGAAAATTCCAGAAATCCTCGGAAACATGAAAGTGGAGTTAGAGATTCACATGCTCGACAGTGTAATAAGGGCTCTAGGTTTTAGAGGTTTTGAAAACCTTGCAACACTTCCGAGCAGCATTTGTAAGTTGAAAAGTTTAATCAGCCTAAATGTGTCGGATTGCTCTAAGCTTAAAAGCTTCCCAGAAGAAATAGGAGATCTAGAAAACTTGGAAAATCTTGATGCTAGAGGTACTCTAATTTCACAACTTCCATCTTCCATTGTCCAGCTGAACAAGCTTAAATTTTTGAGTTTTGCAAAACAAAATTCAGGAGGAGGTCTTGTAGATGGAGTGTACTTTGTGTTCCCTCAAGTGAACGAAGGGTTATGCTCATTGGAACATCTGGATCTCAGTTACTGCAATCTAATGGGTAGAGGACTTCCGGAAGACATTGGATGCCTACACTCTTTGAAAGAGTTGTATCTCTGTGGAAATAATTTTGAGCATTTGCCTCAAAGCATAGCCCAACTTGGTGCTCTTCGATCCTTGGACTTATCAGACTGCAAGAGGCTTAAAGAGTTGCCAGGTTTCAGGGGAATGCAAAACTTGGAGACTTTGAATATGTCAAATTGTATGAATCTTGAAGAGGTTCATCATTCCCTGGAATTTCTCAAAAAGCTTTGTTCAGTAAAATTGACTAATTGTAAACGGCTCAAGAGGTTTCCAGTTCTGTGCATCGATTCCCTTGAATATCTGAATCTAGAGAGGTGCTCTAGTTTAGAAATTTTTCCAGAGATCCTCGGAAGCATGAATTTGAAGTTAAAGAGTGGGTTAAGGTGCCTAGATTTGAGAGGTTTAGAAAACCTTGTAACACTTCCAAGCAGTATTTGTAAGTTGAAAAATTTGGTGGAGCTAAATGTGTCGGCATGCTCAAAACTTGAAAGCTTACCAAAAGAGATGGGGGATTTAGAGAACTTGGAGTGGCTTGATGCCAAAAATACTCTAATTTCACAACCTCCGCCTTCCATTGTCTGTTTGAACAAGCTTCATTTCTTGCAGTTAGCTAAACAAAAATCAGAAGTAGGCCTTGAAGATAGAGTGTACTTTGTTTTCCCTCTGGTGTCTGATGGATTACGCTTGTTGGAGATTCTGAATCTCAGTTATTGCAATCTAATAGATGGAGGTCTTCCGGAAGACATTGGATTCTTATCCTCTCTGAATGAGTTATATCTCACTGGAAATAATTTTGAGCATTTGCCTCCAAGCATAGCCCAACTTGGTGCACTTCGTTCTTTGGACCTATCAGATTGCAAGAGGCTTAAAAAGTTGCCAGGTTTCGGGGGGATGCAAAACTTGGAGACTTTGAATCTGTCAAATTGTATGAATCTTGAAGAGGTTCATCATTCCCTGGGATGTCTCAAGAAACTCTGTACATTAAAGTTGACTAATTGTAAATGGCTCAAGAGGTTTCCAGTTCTGTGCATCGATTCCCTTGAATATCTGAATCTAGAGAGGTGCTCTAGTTTAGAAAATTTTCCAGAAATCCTCGGAAGCATGAAAGTGAAGTCAGATATTCACATGTTAGACAATGTGATGAGGGATCTAAATTCCATGTATCTTTCACTTCCACGTTCCTTGTCTCAGGGTATCGTTTCCTTGCCGAATGCCATCTCTGCTTCAGATTCCTTGTCACAAAGAGTGTTTACCATTGTGCATGGTGGGAATAAGATCCCAAGTTGGTTCCACCATCAGGGAATGGATGAAAGTGTGTCGATCGATTTGCCTGAAAATTGGTATGTAAGTGATAATTTCTTGGGATTTGCTGTATGTTACTCTGGCAACCTAATTGATATCTCAGTTGACTTGATTCCCTTGTGTGATGATGGGATGACCCAGAAGCTAGAATTATCCACCATTCCAAATTATGATTCAGAATCATCCGACGGTTTAGAATGTGGTACTGAACCTACTATTCATTTTTTCTTGGTACCTCTTGCTGGCTTATGGGAAACATCTAAGGCAAATGGAAAAACACCAAATGACTATGGGCTTATTACATTATCGTTCTCCGGAGATATGAAGGAGTTTGGATTTCGTTTGTTGTATAAAGATGAACCAACAGAACATTACATTGGGAAAAAGAGGACCAGATATGACGATAGTGAACGCCATGATGATGCAAGCTGCTCCACTTCTAAGAAACAAAGGTCACATTTCTAATATTCATTGGAGCTGTCTTTGAGAATCTGCAGCAACAACCAGTCTCTTCAGAAACTTTGCAGCTCTTTCCCCGAAGCGCAGAATTTTGGCTTAAATTTAGGTATACCTCATGATTAATTTTTTTCCCTACTTGGTAGTGAAATTCTGTTCAAATTTCTTTGTATGCAATTCTCTCCTATTAGCTACAAAGTATTCTTCCAATTCTTAGTAATTTTTCACTTCTTTTCCTTTTTGTTTTCTCTATTCTTTCCTCTATTGACAGGAGCTCATCAATGGGTGATGGACATATCAACAGTGAGTTTTGTCGATTGATTCTCCATCTTGTGTTAAGCCATGATTAACCATGGTGAGTTAAAGGATGTGAACAACTTTATTTTTTCGATACTCAAATCAGATCCTGGAATCATTCAATCTTCAGTAAATTCTTACCTTGAAGTACTCACAAGTGAAGATTTTTTTTCCAGATAGGTACTCACAAATCAAGAATTTGAACATGAAATTAGTGAACATTTAAAGGGTCGTTTGGTATGGGAATGGGACAGACAAAGATATCTCATAGGTTGGGATATCCCAAGGGATTAGTTAACCCCCATTTATATGGGATAACTTATTCCATCGTTTTAGTACAAATGGTGGATAAATAATTCCGGTACTAACTAATACCCTTAACCAAACATAGAATAAAAAATCATGTATTTTATCCTGGTATTATTATCTCTTATCCCTCATACCAAACGACCCCTCAGAGTATTGGAAACAAATTTCTCTTCAGTTCTATGTTATACTCAAATTTGTTTTTCAACTTGTTCATTCGTGGTTCTTTTTACGATTTAATTGGCTCTAAAGTGATTCTCTGAAATCAAGTATTTTTGGTTTCTTTATTTATTTCACACACCATTTTCAGTGAAAATGAAGGACTAGGATTTCCCCTTGGAATCAATTATCATATTTGTTTTGAAGCATCATTTTTTTCTTAGCAGATGAATTCTTCAATTGCTATTTCTTTGTTCAAATTGGGCAATCGGAGTTTTTGATAAGGACGTTTATCTAAAACCTCTTTGGCTTTGCTGTGTGATGTATGAGCATCAATCCCCTATAGTCGGCAAAAACTGAAATAGTTCTCAGCTTAATTTGTAGATACTTCTATATCAGCATTAATTTCTCAAGTAAGGGAAACATTCTCTGAGTTCTTTGTTTAATTATGTGCTGCATTAGTTACAGAACTAGTTTTTCCTCCATGACGTAAAATTTTGGTTGGGTTTTGAGGCCTGTGCAGCTGCTGAGGAGTTTATGCAGCAGTTGCTACAGTGAACTAAGCAGGAGCAAGAGACTGAAGATGTTGACGAAGTGAGCACTCTGGTTTTAATTTATAGAACTAAACTTGAATGATACAGATGCTTACTATTGTGATGGCTATCTTATCCGAAAGAACCAACTCTTGTGTACTCTTCATTGGAAACTGATGTTCACCATGTTACTTGCGAAATAATTTTCATTTTGAAAAAACCAGAAGTTTCTTAAACATTACATAACTTTAAAAGCTTTATATGGGATGACTCAGTTTAACACTTTTAATCCCTCTATCCTAAATTGAACCTCCACATTTAACTTGTCACTAAGAGTGTTCATCATTGAGCATCCTGAGTGTGTTCATTATTGAGCATCCTGAGAAGAAGATCCCAAGTTGGTTCCACCATCAGGGAATGGATAACTTCTTGTGTTTTTCTGTATGTTACTTGTGGCAACTTATTTGAAACCGCTTGATTCCTTTATGTGATGATGGGATGTCATGGATGACCAAGAATCTACTATGCATTTTTTCTTGGTACGTCTTGCTGGCTTATGACATCTAAGTCAAATGGAAAAACACCAAATGGCTTTGGGCGTTTTAGGTTATCTTTCTCTGGAGAAATGACTTGAGTATAGATGTCGTTTGTTGTATAAAGATGAAGCTGAGCTTTTGGCCGTGCTACAAATATGGGAAAATAATGATGAGCCAGCAGAGCACTCCATTGGGACAAGGACAAGCAGATATGACAATTGTGAACAGCATGACTCCGTCACCAATGTAGTCAGTTGCTGTCGAATACTCTAATAACATTAGAAACAAAGGCCACATTCTAATATTGTGTGCTCTTTTTATATAATTTTCTCCTTCTATCAGCTACAAAGTCTTCTTCCAAAACCTCATTGGTCAACTAGCATGGTGACCAACACTTATGGAACTAGCCTTTGGAGAACCATAAGGAACCTATGGCCAAAACTTAGAGGGAATTGCAAAATCAAAATTGGAAATGGTGTGAAGGTCTCATTTTGGGAAGATAGCTGGTTGGAACAAGGTCCCTTAAAAACACTCTTCCCTGATGTGTTCATCCTCAACCAACAACAGAGGGCTACTGTGGCAGAGGTTTGGTCAAACCAAGGATGGAATCTGAGCTTTAGAAGACCCTTCAATGATTGGGAGATCCAGAGAGTAGTAGAATTCTACAGAACTCTGGAACAATTCAGAGGAGGAAACACTGTCCAAGACTGCCTGGAATGGAAGGATCACAAGCAAGGAAGATTCAGTGTCAAGGGGGCTTACAAAAAGTTCAACCCTTTCAATACCCAGATTAATGGGTGGCCCTGGAAAATGATTTGGAAAGCCAAAATTCCCTACAAAGTGTCTTGTTTTACTTGGCTACTTGCTAAACAGGCTGTTTTGACTCAGGAAAATCTCATGAAGAGGGGTATCCAATTGAGCCCTAGATGTTTCCTATGTGGGGAAAAGGCTGAGACGGTGACTCACCTGTTTCTTCACTGTAGGATAACCAACCAACTGTGGGACCTCTTCATCAATAAGAAAGAACTGAAATGGGTGATGCCAAGGAGAGTAACCCAAACCCTGAAGATATGGAGTAGTTATGCCAACATCTCAGGACATAGGGAGAGATGGAAAATCATCCCAGCTTGTATTTGGTGGTCAACGTGGAAAGAAAGGAACCTTAGATGTCATCAGAACAAGAGCAACACTATTCAGAAGATGAAGATGAATTGTCTTGTGTTGTTTCATTTTTGGTGTAAACAGGAGTATATGGAAGATCTAGAATCAGTTATGATTGTCTTAGGATCCCTGTAATTTTTGTAAATTTTGTCATAGGATTGAAGATCTTCTGTTATACTCTCTTTAATCTGTAATTAGGAATCTGTAACATGTTGTGGCAGGTTTTGATTTTTTGGAAATAGAAATACAAATGTTACCTTCTCAAAAAAAAAAAAAAAAAGTCTTCTTCCAAAACCAATAAAAAAATTCTTCTCATTCATTCGTTTATTTTCCTTTTTCTTTCCTCTATTGGCAGGAACGCATTAATGGGTGATGTACATATCAACAATGAATTTTGTTTATTGATTCTCCCTCTTGTGTTGAGCCATCATTTATACATTGTGAGTTGAAGGCTATGAACAAGTGCAGATTGTGAATTTGAACTTGATAGGTTACTCATTCTTTTTTGTGCCCGAACTGTTAAGGTGAGTGCTTAGTTTAACTATGTGCTGCATTAGTTATAGTACTAGTTTTCCTCCATGAACTAATATTTTTTGGTGGGGGTTTTCAGGCAAATGCATATGCTGAGGAGTTTATGTGGTAGTTCCCACAGTTTGATCAACAGTTGGTAAAGTAAGGGCAAGAGTTTGAAGATGTTGAGGAAAAACCAGAAGTTTCCTTGTCAAAAGGTGTGAGGACTCAGTTTAAGGTAATGATCCTGCTCTAAGTCTAACTTTAACTATACACTTTTGCAGGGGTCATTTCATAGTTGTATCAAGTTAAATGTTGAAGATTCCTTTGAATTACTTCTCATAAGTTCACATAGAAAAGGCAAAGGGTTGTTCCATCTTCATAGAAACTTTGTACCAAATATCATCAATTTTATCTTTTATAACAACCACAATCTATCTGTATTGAACTCGTCCAGGTACACATGGCATGGAAGGAGACAAAACAAGGGAGGTTACAAGAGAAGGCTCGGAAAACAGGTCATCCGGGTGCACAGCTTCAAGGAAAAAGAGCCTTCGAGAAGACATCCTCGGGGAATGAACTGAAGATAGCACAGATGAATCTGAAGGGCAATGATGTGGACAATGAAACAAAGGGAGACAAGGTGTCAGGAGATTCAGGTGCGCTGACGAGCCTCGTATGAATTTGAGCATATTAGTTGGCATTATCAATGGTACTGCCACATGGCGTTTTATCATTAGTCTTTGTATGAAAGGGGATAATTGAAGCATTTCTATTGGCGGAAGGTCTCACCATTGTAACCTATAAATAGTTCAGTTTAGAAATTTGTAAAGGGATTCCGAAAATTTTAGCAATACAGCAACAATACATTGTTTACTTAAATACCCAGTCTACTACTCCTTACTTTGTCTAAGTTCTTGCCCAACACATTAACACGAGAATACTCTCGGAGCTAAGACTAGGGCTCGCTGATATGTTTGCAAACACAGTGAAACGTTCAGATATATACTCCTGCACTTTATTTCTCGTATTCACTTTGTTTTAACCATAAATCAATATTCAAACTGCTAGTAAATGAATCTAAAAATAGTTGGATTAAGAAGTGTGCTCTTGACCGTTTCAAACAAACATGCGAGCTCACAGTTGAGAAGCTTCACTGAAAGTTCCTTCTCTATAACTTTATGAATAATATAATATTCAATGAAAATATTTACCAGTTGACTGGTCCAATAGCAATAATTTAATTCAATTCAATGGTTTTGGCTCCACTCCAGTATGTTGTCTCTCAAAAATATAATGAATGGTTCATATTTATTCTCAAAACCCAATCATTTGTCAACAACAACATCTTATCTCTCTTTTGATCTCCATTGCCAGACAAGAATTCCTCCCCATTACCTTCCAAATCTGCCAAGAATTATGGCATCATTTTCTAAGTCTTCTGAGAGTAATTCACGGTATTCATGTCCTCAACGGAAGTACAAGTACGATGTGTTTCTAAGTTTTAGAGGCAAAGATACTCGCAGAAATTTTACGAGTCACTTGTACGAACGTTTGGATAACAGGGGAATATTCACCTTTCTAGATGATAAAAGGCTAGAGAATGGTGATTCCCTCTCGAAAGAACTAGTGAAAGCTATAAAAGAGTCTCAAGTAGTTGTGATCATTTTCTCAAAGAATTATGCTACGTCGAGGTGGTGCTTGAATGAAGTAGTGAAGATTATGGAATGCAAGGAAGAAAATGGACAATTAGTCATACCGGTCTTCTATGATGTGGATCCATCAGATGTTCGGAAGCAAACAAAGAGCTTTGCAGAAGCCTTTGCCAAACACGAATTGAGGTATAAGGATGATGTTGAAGGAATGCAGAAGGTGCAACGATGGAGGACTGCTCTAAGTGAAGCTGCAGATCTAAAAGGATATGATATCCGTGAAAGGTGAGTTTGGATGTGAAATTCTACTTATTCTGGTCTCTCTTATCTGTATATATCAATAATGTTGTTATTTTTTGTAGGATTGAATCAGAATGTATTGGGGAACTTGTTAATGAAATTTCGCCCAAATTATGCGAGACTTCTTTATCTTATTTGACAGATGTTGTGGGAATAGATGCTCATTTAAAGAAAGTCAACTCCCTTCTAGAGATGAAAATCGATGATGTTCGGATTGTGTGGATCTGGGGAATGGGGGGAGTTGGTAAAACGACAATAGCAAGAGCTATTTTTGATATACTCTCATCTAAATTTGATGGTGCTTGTTTCCTTCCGGACAACAAAGAAAACAAGTATGAAATACATTCTCTGCAAAGTATCCTTCTCTCTAAACTGGTAGGGGAAAAAGAAAATGGTGTGCATGATAAGGAGGACGGGAGGCACCTGATGGCTCGTAGACTTCGTTTGAAGAAAGTTCTAGTTGTGCTTGATAACATAGATCATGAAGACCAATTGGATTACCTAGCAGGGGATCTTGGTTGGTTTGGCAATGGCAGCAGAATTATTGCAACAACGAGAGACAAGCATTTCATACGGAAAAATGATGCTGTATATCCCGTGACTACACTACTTGAACATGATGCTGTTCAGTTGTTCAACCAATATGCTTTCAAAAATGAAGTTCCAGATAAGTGTTTCGAGGAGATAACGTTGGAGGTAGTAAGTCATGCTGAAGGCCTTCCTTTAGCCCTGAAAGTGTGGGGTTCTTCCTTACATAAGAAGGATATACATGTGTGGAGAAGTGCTGTTGATCGAATAAAGAGGAACTCTAGTTCAAAAGTTGTTGAAAACCTCAAAGTAAGTTATGATGGGTTGGAGCGTGAAGATCAAGAGATATTTCTAGATATTGCATGCTTCTTAAGAGGGAGAAAACAAACCGAAATCAAGCAAATTCTTGAGAGCTGTGATTTTGGAGCTGATGACGGATTGAGGGTGCTAATTGACAAGTCTCTTGTGTTCATCTCTGAAGATGATATGATTCAAATGCATGACTTAATACAAGAGATGGGAAAATACATAGTGACAATGCAAAAGGAAAGGGGAGAACTCAGCAGACTATGGCTCACTCAAGATTTCGAAAAATTCTCAAATGCAAAAATACAAGTAAGTGGAGCCAAAACTTACCTTACCAATCCTCAGTCTGTTAGGCACTTGATCATCGATTACTTTTTATTTAAAAGATGACAATTACTGGTGTTGTTTAAATTACAGTTTCCTTCTATCACAACATGAAAAACTTTTCGACTCGACTCTAAAGAACTTCTCAAGAAACTGTACTACTACAAAATAGAATTACAAAATTAATTGCTCAAAGTATTTCTCTTAAGCGACATATTTCTTGAGAAAGACTTAGCTAATATTGTACCTTGATTTTTCTAGTGGCAGTTATTCAAGAACTTCAAGTGCAATAGTAAATAAACAGAACATGAGAAATTTGACATTGCGAGGAGTGAGAAAGTAGTCATACTGAGTGCGGATTTGATTTATGCAGATATTTGAAGTTATACTTTGTAGACTAATGATTCTTTTATCAGGGGACCAAGGCAATCGAAGCAATCTGGATACCAGAAATTCAAGACCTAAGCTTTAGAAAAAAGGCCATGAAAGATGTGGAAAAGCTTAGGATATTATACATCAAAGGTTTTCATACACATGATGGCCCCAACGATCAGTACCTTCCCAGCAATTTGCGTTGGTTCGACTGTTGTAAGTATCCTTGGGATTCATTGCCAGCCAAATTTGATCCTGACATGCTTGTTCATCTTGATCTCCAGCAGAGTTCACTGTTTCATTTATGGACTGGAACAAAGGTGCAATAGCTGAATTCAATTTTTATTTGTATTTTGATCAAGTACATAGATAAAGACATCTTAACTAGACCATAGATACACCTTTTATTGATGAGTTAATGGTCAAAAACACACCTAAAGTATCCCGATTAGACTTCTGTAAAGAATCAAATACTTTTATCTTTAGCCAGGGGCAGATCCAAAGGCTTAGTTACAAGTTCACGTGAACTAAGTAGCTTTTGGAAAAAAAAAGAAATGAAACAAAATAGTTTCTAGATTCACAGATAGCCACTAGCCAAATTGAAATCCACCCTAATTATATGATAATTCTTTTACCTGACATTTTTTGTTTTCCTATCTCATTCTTTTTCTGTTTTGAATAGCAGAAATTTCCTTTTCTACGGAGGCTAGATCTCAGCCGCTGTGCAAACCTGATGCAAACACCAGATTTCACGGATATGCCAAATTTGGAGTATTTGGGTCTAGAAGAGTGTAGTAAACTTAGAGAGGTTCATCATTCCCTGAGATGTTCCAAAAAACTCTTTAAGTTAAATTTGAGAGACTGTAAAAGCCTTGAGAGTTTTAGCTATGTTTGCTGGGAATCTCTTGAATGTCTACATCTACAAGGTTGCTCTAATTTAGAGAAATTTCCGAGGATCCGGGGAAAATTGATGCCGGAGATAAAGATTCAAGTGCAACGTTCTGGGATAAGGAAACTACCATCAGCTATTATTCAGCACCAGTCTAGTCTTACAGAGCTAGATTTGAGTGGCATGAAAAACCTTGCAACACTTTCATGCAGCATTGGCGAGTTGAAAAGTTTGGTGATGCTAAAAGTGTCCTACTGCTCAAAACTCAAAAGCTTGCCAGAAGAGATAGGTGATTTAGAAAACTTGGAGAAACTTGAGGCCAGCTATACTCCAATCACACAACCTCCGTCTTCCATCGTCCGCTTGAACAGGCTTAAATCATTGACTTTTGAAAAACAAAAATCAGAAGTAGGCCTCGAAGATGAAGTGCACTTTGTCTTCCCTCCGGTGAATCAGGGATTATGCTCATTGGAAACTTTGAATCTCAGTTACTGCAATCTAAAAAATGGAGGACTTCCGGAAGACATTGGAAGCTTATCCTCTTTGGAAGTGTTGAATCTCAGGGGAAATAATTTTGAGCATTTGCCTCAAAGCATAGCCCGACTTTGTGCTCTTCAATCCTTGGACTTATTAGATTGCAAGAAGCTTACGCAACTGCCAGAATTTCCACGACAATTAGACACAATATACGCCGATTGGAGCAATGATTCGATCTGTAATTCGTTGTTTCAGAATATCTCGTCATTCCAGCATGACATCTGTGCTTCAGATTCCTTGTCACTAAGAGTGTTTACCAATGAGTGGAAAAATATCCCAAGATGGTTCCACCATAAGGGAAAAGATAAAAGTGTATCAGTCGCATTGCCTGAAAATTGGTATGCATGTGATAACTTCTTGGGATTTGCTGTATGTTACTCTGGCTGCTTAATAGACACCACAGCTCAATTGTTATGTGATAAAAGGATGCCGTGTATCACGCAGTATCTTGCCTTATCCAACCATTCAGAAGGATTTCCAGAATCTGCTATTCATTTTTTCTTGGTACCTCTTGCTGGCTTATGGGATATATCCAAGGCAAATGGAAAAACACCAAATGATTATAGGCACATTGCGTTATCTTTTTCGGAAGAGTTGAAGGAGTTTGGACTTCGTTTGCTGTATAAAGATGAATCTAAGCTTAAGGCCTTGTTTCAAATGAGGGAAAATAATGATGAACCAACAGAACACTGCGTCGTGAAAAGGAGGGGTCAATATGATGAAGCCAGATGCTCTTCTTCTAAGAAACAAAGGTCACAGCTCTAATATTTGTCTTTGAGAATCTGCAGCAACAACCAGTCTCTTCACAATCTTTGCTGCTCTAGTCTCTCTGCTTCTGCTGAGCCATGGTGAGTTAACTGATGTGAACAAGCTTAAATTTTTGATGCTCAAATCAGATCCTAGGATCATACGATCTGAATTCAATTCGTACCTTAAAGTAGTCGTAAATCAAGAATTTGAACTTGAAAATTAGTTAACTCTAAAATGAAAAGATGAATACTCAATTGATACCATGTAGTTAGTTTTCCAATTTAAAAATATGTTCGTTAGAAAGATAAATAGAGCTAGCACTTGCTATAAGGGCTTCTGACTATAGGTGTTGGAGTCGGTCTGTCTGAGTATGTAAACTATGTGGTGGATGATAACAAATAAACTTTCTACATCAGTCAATTCTTCTTCCTGCTCTACACGTCCAAGAATTTTCACGTATTGTATCGGAAAACAAATGTTGCTTCTAAGTTCTATGCTATACTCAAAATTGGTTTTCGACTTGTTCATTTATGGTGCTTCTGTTTACATATTTCTAAAACTCTTTGGCTTTGTTGTGTGATATTTGAGCATCTATCAATCCCCTATAGGCGGCGAAAAATGGTATAGTTCTCAACTTAATTTGTAGTTGCTTCTATATCAACATTAATTCCTCTAGTAAGGGAAACATTGTCTGAGTTCTTCGTCTGATTATGTGCTGCATTAGCTACAGAACTAGTTTTTCCTCCATGAAGTAAAATTTTGGTGGGGTTTTCAGGTCTGTGCAGCTGCTGAGGAGTTTCCGGGGCAGTTGCCACGATTAACTAAGCAGGACCAAGAGACTGAAGATGTTGATAAAGTGAGCATTTTTTGGACCATAGTATTAACAACATGAGTATTTTTGGACCAAAGTATTGTCAGGAGTGACATTTTTATTCAATTTCGTATATTTTAACTTTTTTGTTTTTTTTTTCTCTTTAATTAAAGTGACAACTTGTGGAGTATTCTGTGACATCTTGCAACTTGCATCATATCTTGATGCTCAAACATAATTCTTCTAATGCATGACAGTATTCTGTTTTATTTTAGTACCAAGTTTCAAATATGAGTAAATTAAAATATGATTAATATTTTAAGGTTGTAAGTTTCAATCAATTAATACACTTTAATTAACAAAAGATGTAGAGAATTGAAAAAGGAAAAAATAATTAAGAAAAGAAGAACTAGACAATAACAAATAAAAAATAATGTAAAATGTCCCATGAATATCATTTTGGCGTATTTTCTAGCTTTCACACACTATAAACAGAGTGAATCACTCTTCATGCCATTCTTGACACTATATAGAATTTCAAATCGAAAATATTATAGATCTTAATAGGTGAAAGAAAGTCTTTTTTTCTTTAGCTTTCTCATTCATTTTTTCCTCCTTTTTCCCTTGATTTCCTTTAATTCCAAACCAATGGTAATGAATTGTGAATTAAATTGTTTGACCGCCCTTGTGAAAGTTTAATCAAATTTTGTAAATCTATCTTTAAATATTTATTTGACTATACATTTGACTTGTTTGACCACGTGTTTTAAATGGTTTGACAATATATTTTGAAAATTTGTCTTCAATATTTTTCCAATTATGGACCAATTTTTCAGAGAAATTTCACTTCCACCCACAAACTTCTAATTTTTTTCCAAGACTATCCTTGTGACCTTTGAATCAAATTTTGTAAATTTATCTTTAAATATTTGTTTAACCATATATTTAACTTGTTTGACCATATGTTAAATTGTTTGACCATATGTTTTGTAAATCTATCTTCAATTTTTTTTCCAATTATGGACAAATTTTTGAAAGAAATTTCATTTCCACCCACAAAACTCTAATTTTTTCCCAAGACTGTCCTTGTGAACTTTTAATCAATTTTTTTAAATCTATCTTTAAATATTTACTTGACCATACATTTAACTTGTTTGACCATATATTTTAAATTGTTTGACTATATATTTTGAAAATCTGTCTTCAATTTTTTTTCCAATTATAGACCAACTTTTGAGAGAAATTCACTTCCACCCACAAAACTCTAATTTTTTTCCAAGACTGTCCTTGTGAATTTTTAATCAAAATTTGTAAAATCTATCTTTAAATATTTATTTGACCATATATTTTAAAAATCTGTCTTAAATTTTTTTCCAATTATAGACCAATTTTTGAGAAAAAATTCACTTCCATCCACAAAACTCTAATTTTTTTCCAAGACCATCCTTGTCTGAGTAAATTACATATACAAAAAATAATAACAATACATTTATCAACTATTATTTCGATAAACAACTACACAACATAATTTTTTTTGTCGAGATAAGTTACGTATTTGACCGATCGACCCGGGACAAAAAGGCCCAAAATAATTCGATCCACTAAAGCCCAAATTAGAAAAATAGCGCCAAATACCTTTAACGTTTGCAAAATCCATTTTCTCTCTCATTCATCTCTGTTGCAACAAAATTCTCTCACAAAAAACCAAAAAAAAGCTCTGCAAAAAGGTAAAATTCTTCACATTTTTCCTGTGCATTTGATTGTATAAACATGGAAAATTCATTTGTGCATTGAAACCCTAGAAAAACAACGATTTTTTTTTTTTTTTTTATATATGTAGAAAGAAGAGCTATGGATGGTTATGCAAAAATGAATGCTGCGATCGCTAAGGCTGAAAAGGAAGAGTGGGCGCAGGAAGAGATTGATCGGATGCCGTTCGGACAGCGAATGAACTCACTGATGGGCAAGAGCAAGCCCGGTGCGAAAGCTTCTTCCAGTGGCCGTTCTACTCAAGGGACTGCACAAGTGTTGAAGTGAGTTTGTTTTTCCAGTTTAATTAAGTTTAATGCGTTGAATTTTCTATTTGGGAATCAATTTTGATGAAATAGAGCTAGTTTACAGTTTTAAAAATAATAGTGAAAGAAGATTCCTGCAAAAGATGGTTTTTTTTTGGCTATTTAATTGTGTTTAGTTTGCAGTTTTGGAAGTAGAAAGTAAAGGGAAAAGAAAATTAAGATGTACAGCTGGAAAAGATGGATTTTTATTAAAAAAACAAGAACTGTTGTAGTGTTTTTTAGTGTTCAATTCATAGTTTTGGAGGTATATAACAACACGGAAATAAATTCAGGGAAGAGAAAGCAGAGATACTGTTCAAGAAATGGAACTTGATAAAAAAAATGGGAGTTTTTGTAGCTGTTTTATTGTGTTATGTTCACAATTTTGTAAGTGAAATAAAATTAAAGCATAATATTTGTAATCCGTGGTTTTTACCTACTCCACTATTTTATATGGATTGGGCAATCCTCATCTCTTGAGTTAGCTTTTGGGGTTGAGTTAGGCCCAATGTCCATTTTCTTTATCATGATTTTAGAGTCGAACCCATCCCAATTCTTTGTTTCACTGATGTTGGGTCCCCATTTGTATTGTTCACGCTCTGGTTGGCAGGTGGGGGTGTCGAGTCTCCCACATCGGCCTAGGGATTGGGGACTTGATCTCTTTATATGGCTTGGGCAATCCTCACCTCTTGAACTAATTTTTAGGGTTGAGTTTGACCCAATATTCATTTCTTTATCAATCCTTACAAAATTTTCTGAAAAAAGTGGCGTACATTTTGCATTTAACATTGGTGGTAACATGTGCAGGTCTTCAGTTGATACCGTTGTGAAAAAGGAAGATGAATGTGATTCACAGGTATTAATCCCAATATTCATTTCTTTATCAGTCCTTAAATTGACTGACTTCTTGTAAAGGCCTCCTTGACTGACTAATTTATTGTGCACACATGAGGGGATAGGAGTACAAATTACTTCCCTAAGATGACCAATGTTCACCAGAGACACAACACTATTGAAAGTTTAGAATCTAATAGTACTGTTTGGAGAATGAGGTTGGATGGTAGAGATGCAACTTTAAATTTTGATGAAGCACTCTACACTAACTCTAACCATTGGAGACCAGAGTGGTCTATAGAAAACATGCCTGCAATCTCGGAGGAGGAAGGTATGTGAATGCAAATACTATTTGATGAAGAGGATATTATGTGGGTGATCAGGGAATGTAATGGGGACAAAGCACTGGGACCAGATGGGTTTATAGGTTCTACAATAAATGTTAAGATCTAATTAGGGCAATAAATTTTTTCACTTCCATGAGTTTTTTGAAAGAAGTTCCTATTCCTCTTATATTGTGTTAGTCCCCAAAAGAGCTGGAGGAAAGGAGGTGAAGGATTATAGGTCTATAAGTTTGATTGGTAACTTCTATAGAGCGGTGTCTAAACTTTTAACTAACAACCTTAAAATTGTTGTGAGTAGCTGGTCTGCCCTTCCTTGATAGCCTTTGCCAGAGGAAGGTAGATTACAGATGCATCACTCATTGCGAATGAGTGCCTTGATTCTAGACCTCGAGTCCTCGACAGAAAAAACTAGGTATTTTGTGTAAATTGGATATTGAGAAGGCGTTTGACACTTAATCAACATGTTAAGGCAAGTGGTTTTGGGATAAAATGGATCAATTGGATCCACTTTTGCATTTCTACAGTAAAACCGTTCATCATCATCGATGGATCCCCTAAAGGTTTCTTTATTACCCAGGAAGGTTTAAGACAAGGACAACCTCTCTTTCATATATGTCACCTTGGTTATGGAAGGCCTTAGTAGAATGTTTGCGCAGAGTTGCAAGGATGAAATGAGGTTTTACTTCAAGTCTGAGGATCAGGGAGAAATGAACGTAACACACCTTTTTTTGTACAGAGTTGTGTCCAAACTTCTTGCTAATAAACTTAAAATTATTATGAGTAAGTAAACTAGTGTCACCTACCCCGTTGGCCTTATGAGGGTAAGGCAGATTACATATGCATCATTCATTGCAAATGAGTGCCTTGATTCTAGACTCCGAGGAAAAACCAGGTATCTTGTGTGAATTAGGTATTAAGCCAGTGTTTGACAATGTTCACTGGAATTTCGACATGTTTAAATGCCAATGGGATTTGGGAAAAAAATGGATCAACTGGTTCCCATCTGCATTTCCACAGTTAGCTATTCTTTATTATCAATATTTCCCCCAAAGGTTTCTTCGCT